GCATTGTTCTCACTCTAAATTGTGTTTAAAGTTTTTCAGAAGATTTGTAGCTTGGGTTGTGGATGAGTTTGTAGACTTGCTCGCTGAGCCGGTGTGTTTGATTGCAGACATTTCGTCACCCTGCTAGGTCTGAACTGGAGGTAATGCCAACCACCCCAGAAAATCGAGGCATATAAAAACAAGCAGGACAGAACACCGATGCTTCACTGGAGGCACACTGATGATGTTACCTAGTGGGGTGACAAAATGTTTGCAACCAAACACACTCGTTTGGCAAGCAAATATACAACTAAATTGTGTTGCACGCAAGTGTATGTCTATAATGAAACACAAGAAACAAGTGCAGAATCACTGGAGCGATATCATATGAAAAGACTGATGAATCACTGCCCACCATATAACAGATTAATTCCGGCAGGTCAATAGGTGATACATGGTCCATGACTGTTGGAATGATGACTGCAGAAGGAGTACATAAGGTCAAAATAACATGTCACATAAACACCAATATGTTATGTAACCTTCACAAAGATGTGTGAAGTGGCTTAACTTTGTCATCCAAAAATAGTACCCTCAAAAGTAAGGTTCAGGCTATGTATTAACAAATACTTGTGCCAAGCGGACAGATTATGCTGCAAACCTACTGCAATACCATGAAGGAAGTAGTCCAGATAACAGATGGCAATTAAAAAGCCACTCATTTTAACTAGAGTAAGTCTAAAGCTTGGACTGGTAACTGTCAAAATATTAAGACATTTGCACTGTGTCACAGCACATTAAACCTTTGCAAACAGATCCTAGTGTAGTAAAATGATGTGTTCATGGGTTTAGAATTCTCCAGGAGAATATCATCTCGAAGTGAAAGAAAGTGTAAGATGAATTCAGCATCTGCTGAGGAAAGGTATAGCTGCCCTCAACAAGACTACATACTCCTGAGAGATAGTACGAACTGCCGATGCTGGAGTCTGAGATAACAAGGTGTAGAGCTGGATGAACACAGCAGGTCAGGCAGCATCAGAGGAGCAGAAAAGCTGACGTTTCGAGTCTGGACCCTCCGTCTGAAGAGGTTTCCTGCTCCTCTGATGCTGCCTGGCCTGCTGTGTTCATCCAGCTCTACACCTATACATGCTCCTGAACTAAAATTACCTTTCTCATTGGACCAAGGTCATCCTTGAGTGTGGGACAGTATACAAGTACCGAGGATTAAGCCCATCAGGACTAGGGGATTTGTCATCTTTTAGCTCCAGTAGTTGTTTATCAATTCACTTTTCCTGCTGAATGTAATTGTTGTAAGTTCCTGCCACCTTTACACCTCCGGAAGTGCTAATACTTCAGTATGTGGGAGTTTTTGGATGCTAGTGTGATCCATGACAAATGTGTCAGCAGTATGTGTTTGCAGCTTGAGGAGCTGTGGGTCAGAGTCAGTGAGATTTGCACTGATCTGTACACATCATAACACATTAGGGAGGGAATATTTTGTGTGGATACTTTATTTCAGGAGGTTGTCACACCCCTTAGAATATAATCTTCTGATTTGGTCTGTGGTGAGGGAAAGGATGGTGTGACTACGAGTGAGGCAAGTAAGGGGATTGCGTAAGTGAGGGTGGATGAGCGTCAGCCTTTGTCTTACAAGTTCTGATGAGGAGCATGTATAGGTGTAGAGCTGGATGAACACAGCAGGCCAGGCAGCATCAGAGGAGCAGGAAAGCTCTTCAGAAGGAGGGTCCAGACTCGAAACGTCAGCTTTTCTGCTCCTCTGATGCTGCCTGGCCTGCTGTGTTCATCCACATCTACACCTTGTTATCTCAGACTCCAGCATCGGCAGTTCCTACTATCTCTCAGGATCATGTAGTCTTGTTGAGGGCAGCTATACCTTTCCTCAGATGGTGTGACTACGAGTGAGGCAAGTAAGGGGATTGCGTAAGTGAGGGTGGATGAGCGTCAGCCCTTGTCTTACAGGTTCAAATTTCTTGCAGCTTATGTCAATAAAATTGAGGACTGTAATATTGCTGATCAAAATAAACATGATGCATGGTGTACATTGCGAAACATTCAAATGGGGGAGTTGGTAGGAATATAATATTAGTAGGTGACAGCATAGTTCTCTGCAGATGAGATCAAATTATCAGACTGCTGTGTTGCTATGTGATGCCAGGGTTCAGCCCATTTGCTCAAGGCTGGGGAGGAACTTGCTGTGAGGAGTGGATCCAGTGGTTCTGGTTTGATTATGTGCCAGTGACATAGGTGGCATTAGGAAAAAGGTTCTGCCTAGGGAGTATGAGCAGCCAGGACCAAAATTAGAAAGTGGAACATCAAGATAATGCCTGCATTATTACTTGAGCCATGAGCATAGTAGCAGTAGTTAAATAAAGTTACAGATAAGAATGCATGACTCAAAAGATTGGTGTTTGCTTCCTGGGGCACTGGCCCCAGTACTAGGGAAAGAGAGATCTGTACTAGTAGGACAGTCTTCACCTTAAATGGGATGGATGCAGTGTTCTCGTTAATCATATAAACTGCAGAGCTAGAGAAACTTTAATATGAATTGTGGATGATGATGGATCAAGTATCTGAAGATTAGATAGAGAAAATAAGGAAAGACAAGGTAGCAAGAAGTGAAATGCTGATCAGAATGCAATAGGGAGGGACAGAGTGTACAAACCTCAGAGTACAAAAAATAGATAGTACTGGTGATCACAAAAATAGTAAAAAGAACTAATGGTTCTTCATTTGAATGCATGAGATATTCTTGACTGAATATAAAAGTAAATATGTATGGTCTGACCATCATTACATGGCTACACAATAGCAAAGGCAGAGATCTGAATATTCAAGGGGACTTTATTTTATTCATTATATTTAGGAAGGTAAAAGTAAACAGGGGAAGTTAGAGAGCTGCTCTGCTGATTAAGGATAATATTGGTACAATAAGACAGATATGAACTTAATTCTGTGAATCAGGATGTGGAATCAGTTTGGGTATAGATGAAACATAGGAAAGAAGTTACTTCTGGGTAAATGTGATTTTTAGGTTTCCAAATAATGATCACATTGTAGAGTGGAGTACCCAGTCAGAAATAATAAGCACTTTTGAAAATGATATGCCTCTAAACATGGCAGATTTTAATCTGCATATAGATTGGATAAATCAGAGTGACAAAGATAGCCTATGTGCTCCTGAACTAAGGTCATCTCTTTTAATTGTACCAAGGTCATCCTTAAATGGAGAATGCAGGAGGGTACACCAGAAACTGCACCAGACATACCTAATAATGAAATGTTGACCTGATGAACAGGATTATTTCTGTGCTAAGCAGCATAAGCAACTAATACTGGGCTGAGTGATTCCATAACCAATGGATCAGATCTAAGCACTGCAGTCCTGCGACATCCTGTTGTGAATGATGTGCATTTAGGTAAGTCACTGGATGAGGAGGCTGCACAAACTCTGTGATAGGGAAGCCCAGCACATCAGCGCAAAAGATAAGTGCTAAGTGGATGATTCATCTTTGCCTCCTCCAGTGGTCCCTAGATACCATTCTTCACTCCATGTGATATCAAGGTAGGATTGGAAACAATAGACACTACAAAGGCTCTGGGCCCTGACAACACTCCAGCAATAGTACTGCAGATGTGCTCCAGAACCAGATCACCCTTAGCCGAGCTGTTATGTGCATCTACAACACTGGCATTGATACAACAATGTGGAAAATTGTCCAGGTATGTCCTGTACGCAAAAGACATAACAAATCCTATGCAGCCAATTAACCTCCAACAACAAAAGCAGAAATTGCTGGAATAGCTCAGCAGGTCTGGCAGCAGCTATGGACAGAAATCAGAGTTAACGTTTCAGTGATCCTTCCTCAGAACTGTCATACTTCCAATAAGTCCATTCCCGATCATCAGTAAAATACTGTTGGAGGTCAGTCATCTCAACTCTGAGACATCTGTACAGGAGTTCCTCAGGCTAGTTTCTAAGGTCCGCTTATCTTCAGTTCCTTTGTCAATGATTTTACCTCCATCATAAGGTCAGAGTGTAACTGTAGATGGTTTATCTTTCTCTTCAGTAAAACTTAGAAAAAGTCAGTAACAAATACAGAAGTTGCTGGAAAAACTCAGCCAGTCTGGCAGCATCTGTGAAGAAAAAATCAGGGTTAACGTTTCAGGTCCAGTGACCCTTCCTCAGAACCAGTTCAGAGGAGGGGTCACTGGACCTGAAACGTTAACTCTGATATTTTTCTTCACAGATGCTGCCAGACTGGCTGAACTTTTCCAGCAACTTCTGTTTTTGCTCCTGATTTATGGCATCCACAGATCTTTTGGTTTTTAATTAGAGACTGTCAGCTTATTTTTTTCTCACTAGCTGTGGTCTTTACCCAGTAGATAAGTCACTGAAGAAGGAGGCTCCACAAACTTTCCTACTCTCTGCGATAGGGAAGCCCAGCAAATCAGTGCTGAGGATGATTCATCTTTGCCACCTCCAGTGGTCCCTAGGATCACAGATACCATTCTTCACTCCATGTGATATTTGTAGTTTTTACACTTGGTAGTTAGTGTAATAGTCATCTGAATCTCCCGTGAAGAAGTGAAAAGAACCCAGGAAAAAGAGTTTGAAGAATAGAAAACTCGACAAACAAAAAACTCATCTCAGTGAACCCTATGAACTAGAACCATTGACCTGCTTCCCCAGATGTATTTTCTCTCCACCCAAAAGACTGCTTTTGTTTGTCTGTCTGTGTCTATCTGTGTGGGCGCGTTGGAGCAGGGTGGCGCGGGGGGGGGCGGAGCGGGGTGCAGTTCAGAATTTAGAGTTAGAGTTTAGAATTTTATCCAGTGCTTACAATTTGACAGTTCATCTTGTTTACCTATAGTTAGAATAGTTTTACTTGTAATAAATATTAATTCTTGTTCAGTATAGAAACCTGATCTGTGTTTTCTGTTATCCTGTGTCTATCGGACAGGCAAATTGCGGACTTTGCATACTTTGATAAAATGTTTACCTTTTGTGATGACTTCAGGTAGAACGGGGCTTGATTTGCAGTGTTAGCCCAAGGAGGTGTGACACGCTACAGACGCTGCCCGACCCACTGAAATTTTCCAGCATTTTCTGCTTTTATTTTAGATGTGCATCTGCCACAGTATTTTACATTGAAAGTGGCAGGACAGATCTAGAGAGAGAGAGAGAGCAGTTAATAAAGCATACCGCATCATGGACGCTATTCATAGGGGCATATAGTACAAAAGTAAATTACATTACGTTAAACCTGTATAAAACACTTGCCAGGTCTCAACTGGAGCATTGCAACCAGTTCCGGGCACTACACTTTGAGAAGAATCTGAAGGCTTTAGACAGGATGCAGAAAAGATTTATGACAATGTTTGCAGGGATGAGGAATTCCAGTTACAGACAAAGGTTAGTGAATTTGGGACTGTTCTAGAACTGAAAGCAGGGCGGAGATACAATTGAGGTATTCAAAATCATTAGGCGTCTTTTCAGAGTAGATAAGGACACATTGTTCCCAGTGGAGCAAGGATCAAGAACCATAAGGTATAAATTTAAGGTAATTGGCAAAAGTAGCAAAGTTGACATTGAGTGGTTAGGATCTGAATGCGCTACCCGTGAGTCTGGTGGAAGCAGATTCAGCTGAAGTTTTTTAAAAAATGGAATAAAAAAAATGCAGAGCTTGGGGGAAAGGGCAAGGAATGGCACGTGGTGAATTGCTGTTTCAGGTAGCCAGCATCAGCGCTACGGGCTGAATGGCCTTTGTCAGTGTAACCATTCTACCATTATATAGAATTTCTTTAGGGATTAGGCAGCATTTCGGCTATTACCTGTTACCAGAAATTTCAGAAAACAGTTTCTGGTCTAACGTTAACTCGGAATAAAGGGATAGTAGGAACTGCCGATGCTGGATAGTCTGAGATAACAAGGTGTAGAGCTGGATGAACACAGCAGGCCAAGCAGCATCAGAGGAGCAGGAAGTCTGACGTTTCGGGCCTAGACCCTTCTTCAGAAATGGGTTTTCTGAAAATGATTTCTGAAGAAGGGTCTAGGCCCGAAACGTCAGACTTCCTGCTCCTCTGATGCTGCTTGGCCTGCTGTGTTCATCCAGCTCTACACCTTGTTAACGCGGAATAAAGTTTTTTTTTAAACAGCTTCCTTGTTTAAGCTCTTCCTGCAGTTCGGCTCCTGTCTATCTCCATGCCCCTGACAGATAATAGCATGTGCTGTAACTATTTTTGGCCGACTCCCTCTTGCTGTGCACTGGGTAATTTCTTCCAGACGACACAGGATATTTCCAGAATATCCGATTCTCCCTTTTCCTGAGGGTGCAGAGAAGCGGCTGCTGTCTGCTAATCGCGAAGTGAGCGTGTCCTGATGGCGGAGCTCTGTTATAACCGAGGTTGTGGCCTGCGCTTTGATCCCCAAAACAACCGAGAGGGTAAGTGACAAACTTATACGCCGCTCTGCTGCTTCATCAAACTGCCTCTGCCTTGGGACGGTGTCTGGAGGCTCGAGGTCAGATCATTT